CCAAAGGCAGCCCAATGTCGTGTGACTGGCGGGTGCGTCTCCTTGTCGTGTCGATGTTTGTGTTGAGTATATTTGCCAATGCTGATGGTTGCCCCGCTGTGCTGAGTTTATGAAGAAAGGTTACGTTGTGGCAATGTGCCAGCCATCCCACGTTCAGGGCTGGGTTTTGGTTTATCGCGTCGGAAATATGATCGAACTTCTGGCGACCTGACATTACTCTCGCGCACAAATTAGGATTGACTGGACCTGTTTTTAGGTTTGACCGGTTTGCGCTGTCGCACACAAACATGCAGTAGCGAACTATGGACTTGGGCAAACTGTGCACTATTGTTCCTACATGTTCGCTGGAAAGACTATGCCCTATGTGGGACAGGGCCACAAGCAGCCCTTTGCAACGTCCTTTCATGCTGGCAATATGCGTCGAGAAGGTGAGCGATCGGTCGAAGGTCAATCCAAGGTTAAGTGCCGTGTCGCTGTCCTCAACCACGCTGTCTCCACGTGGCTGATACGGGCGGCGAGTACTGCATTATTTGCTGGCTGCCGATGACGATAAGCTGGGTTTTGCCGGCACTCAGTGTAAGAGCATGCTGCCCCAAGCTTACGACCATTTGCGTATCGTTCGCGTATCGGACATCACGGACACCGCCTTCCACATGTCAACCGAGGAAAAAAGTGACTGCAACAACGGGCCGAGGGCGCTGCCCTGGTACACCTCTATTGGATTTTCAAGCGGCCGTGATGTGAGAGGTCTGAAGTGTTTACAGGTGAATGCTTCTTTCTGCCTGTGGCTCTGAGGATGGCCTTCGACCAGTTAGGGTCAACGCCATGAAGAAATAGCTTGCAAGAACTTTATCACGATTCACCGCAACGAAACATTTGTACAGATCCAGCAGCACAAGCAATGAGGATTCGCGCCATATCCATAGCACGTAGCGCAATATCACTTACGGTCGTCAATGCTGTTTCGGTTGAGTGGTGTTTACGAAATCCGTGTTGTGACTAGGCGAAAGAGGGTGGCGGGGCATCGAAAAAGCTTTACAGTTGCTCGTAAACGACTCGTTGAACTATTTTGGCACAACTGGGCACAATCGAGATCGCTCTAAAGTTGAAAGGTTCAGATAAAAATAATGTCGACTTGCAAATAATTTAACTCAAGACATTTTCCAAGCATCAAGAACTATACCGGTGTTCAGGCCGGCGTTCAAGATGGCGAGAATGACGTGGCAACGTAAGTAAACACAACGTTTTATGGCATACAGAGGGAGACCGGTATCACCACAAGAATTTGAGTTACTCATATTAAGGATAACAGAATGCATGTTCTCAAGCGGCACTGGCTGCACTCTAAATTGCTCAGAACATACTCGGGTTGGAAGTGATGGCAGGTCCGGTGTAGTTGTTTCAGCTCTGGCAGCCATCACAGCAGCCGCTGTTTGACTTCCAATCCGCGCCAAGCACCTGTTCATAATGTTCGGGTCGACCTCTAAAGATGTGTTCGGGCCCGCCTCCCTTGCCAGCGATGTTCGGCCGCATACATTTATACAAACTGGTTGGCCCTACCTCTCAGATTTTCCTGCGGATATCCTCACGACCATCGCGACGGATGGCTGATGTTGTCAGTCTACTCAGCTCCCTGTAGCGTTCATTATCGCCCGAGGCCAGTGCAGCACTGCGCTTGGATATGACCTGCTTCGTTGCATCGGTGGCTCGATGTCGTCTAACACGGCAAGAGCGTGGTGCACCAGGTACTCAGTCAGCTGACCCGGATGTCCGCTGGTGAAAACCGGGCTCCAGTCGACCTCGATCAGCCCCAGCTGGATGGCTGTGAGGTCGACCTTGCTTCAACGCCAGCTCCGAACAGAAACGGTCGGTTATCCGCATCAGGGAATGTGCAAAAGAGCGCCAGTTAAGCCGTGAGGACTGGAGTGGCATCGCCCCACTCCCGAGCGGGTGGCGGCTCCAGGCTGGCTGGAGAAGATAGTCTCGGGTGGAGCGAGATGACCGGTAGGTGGCGCCACCGTGCATGGAATGCGTGTCCCCGCAGAAGACCCATCAGACGGCGAGCCGGGGCAGCTCCGTCCGTGTTTCGCAAGTCTCGAGAGTCCACTCGGGCCCCTTTTCGGGGTCACTCAGACACGCCTCCTGGCCGACTTGGGACCACTTGCTGAGACAGGACTGCTGTGAGGCATCACGAGCCGCTGACCGATACTGGGGCCCCTAATTGTGTCAGAGACCCATTCCAGTGAAAATCGCGAGTCCAGGCCTTGTTCCTGCTGGGGAAATGGGTCTACTGGGCTCGGGCTGACATGGAGTTCTTCAGGTCGAGGCACTACGAGTGGGGAGGAGGGTCCGGGTGAAATGGGACCCTTGACTTTTGTTCCTACGACGCCCTTTGGGCTCCCTCAGACACGAATCCTGACCTACTCGGGGCCTCTTGCCGACGTAAGACCCTATGTAAGACACTGTGTCTCCTGACCGACACCATCACTCGAGCTCGCGCTTCGCACACTCAGCGAACTTCCGTGAAGATATCAAGCTGTTCAGTGCATTAACGAGGAACATTATTCACATAGATGAGACAGCAGTATTAGCCTTATTCCTCGGAAAAAACAGGAGAATTGAGATATAGTTAGGTTGATATTTCGGCAACATGCCTTTACCGAAACGATAGCGGAAGTAGACCTCAGTAGACAAACAATAAACTTCAGCTAATGTTTCGATAAAGGCATGTTGCCGAAATAGCAGTCTAATTATAGCTCTGTTCTCCTGGTTTTTCCGAGGAATAAGGCTAATACTACCGTCTTATCTATGTGAAGACTTAAAGGACGATTTCTAACTCCCGTGAATATATGAAGACTAGAATAATACATAAAGATATTACGAATGATTTCTAACTCCCGTGAGTATATGAAGAATGATTTACATCCACATTGGAATCATGAAGCGACGTATATCATGTCTGTTGCCGACCAGTAACACACCATATCAATACAAACCGCTTTATTAAAAACGAGAGGATCACTTCTCAGGGTGCCCAAGTATGGACAACATATGAACCACATAAGTACACGTTTCCAGTTTGCCTCCGGCATATATACACATCCGCACGACCACACGTACATTTACGCGCACAAACAACCAACAGCCACACGGCTATGATAAGTGCGCGTGCACTGACAGGGGCTCACACTCTACAGTAAGGACGTCGAGACGTGACAAACGGGTCACGCCCCGACCGCTGAGCAATGAACGGCACGATGAGGTCGGCAGCAACGGCGCGGCGCGGGAGCCACCGGCCGCAGGGGTGCGGCTGCCAGGCTGCTGCCGTCGACAACGGAACAGCTCTTACGACAAAACAAGGCGGCACGCAATCGTGAATAAATAACCGTCTACGCACACGAACCACACGCACATGAGCAAATCGCGCGTGGCGGCCGCCATAGTGAGAGACTGGACCAAGTGAAACACGACATAACGATTCATTTGTCTTAAGTTATCGATAATCAAGGTGCACGTCATGGGCGCTCCTCGGACGAGAACATAGTGATGACCACAGGAAGCCTGCCCTGTGACCTTACGCTCGCCGCACAGACGTCATAGCCTCTAAGTCACACTTACAGACACACCGGCCACCTACGGGCGTGAGGCCGCACTGTCGGCTGTGCAGTGCCGCACAACGAACACGGACACCACGCTGAACACGCGGTGGCGACGGAGAGGCACGCAGTGGGGCGCCGCCGTCCGCTGTATGTCGATAGTAACGCGCCCGCTCGCAGCACGCCGACGCGCTGAGGTTTGATCAGATTTGGGTAGACGCGACGCGAACATCACGGTGTCGAGACCATGTCGTCGATGGTCGGCAAATGATCGTGGAAGAAGTGAGCATGTTTCCAAAGTTGTTGCATTATGCAGCCCATAATGAGTTACGTCGAACGGTCCACGAATGCTAGTGTTGTGCGATCCAATATGAGCGCACAGAACCGCACGGAAAAATGCACAACACCGCGAGGACTCGCGAGTATGCATGGCCCTGGCAGTGTATGCATACCAGACTCGCCATGGAGAGATCGGTGATCGCCTCCGCCACTACCAATGAGCAACACGAAACCAATCATGAAACAAACGGTTTGAGGCAATCTTCATCAATGAAAGGAACATGACCAAAGCAAACGAAAAAATTTTGCCCTTTGTTACTTTGAAAACGAATGCACCACAGGCGCCACGACGTCCGCTACGACGTCCGACGATGACGCAGGGACAAACCGAGCATCTAGATGCGAGCCTTTGACACCCGCCGTTGCGGCTCCTCAGAGCGCCCTGTTCGTCACCGTGAGGCCACGCGCGGTTACACTAACAACGCCAGGGTCGGGCAGAGGCCGGCGCGACCCGGAGCGCCGCGTGTCTGTGTGGATGAAGCCGTCCGTGCGGGCGCGCTAAAACGAGATCGGCTGGAAAGTGAGTACGGCGGCCGGCGGCGGGCGCGCGGGCCGCCGCGGCCGGCCGGCCGCCCGCCGCGCGGCGCGCGAGATCGACAGCTGACGCGGCACAAATCGGCTAGATGGCACTAGTGGGCATTGGCAGTGTGCGGGGCAGTGATACGTCTTGTACTACACAAACATCACGCACAGGAGTACAGGTATGTACAAAACTGCAAAACTGGAGCGGGGGTCGGAATGGGTCCTGGTCCAAGCCGACCGAGCTAACTACTGGCAGTGGTATCGCTGGTCTCTTCAACCCGACTTCTAGTCGGCGCCCCTGGCGGCGCGCAGCCGAAACTGCGCCGCCTGGGGGCGCCCCGTTCGGGCCGCCCTTCCTTACCCCACTACGACATACACGCATCAACATTAGAACAATTTGTACTGGAGACTCGCTGCCGACACGACGAGGAGCTGCCCTGAGCAGTGGCCCGGCGGTCCGGTGGTCCGGCGGTCCCGGTGGTCCGGTGGTCCGATGGTCCGGTGGTCCGGTGGCCCGTTGGTCCGATGGTCCGGCGGGTCCAGTGGTCTAGTGGTCCAATGGTCCAATGGTCCGACGGCCCGTTAACCCGGTGGTCCAGTGGTCCAATGGTCCGACGGTCCGGCGACCCGGTGGTCCGATGACCCGGTGGTCCCGTGGTCCGGCGGTCCGGCGGTCCAGCGGCGCAGCAGGCGCGGTAGGAACGTTGGCGGCCGGCGGCCGGCGGCGGCGCGCTACGCCGGCCGGCCCTTGCGCCGGTGGCGCGCCGGCGGCCCGCCCACGGCGTTGGCCACGCGCTGCGCCGCCGCCGCCGGCAGCTGGCAGCACGGCACGTGCCGCGTCGGCCGGAACGCGTGCGCCGGCATCCACTCGTCATCGACTCTGCGGGGCGCGCAGCGGCGTCAACACCAGCACACGGCGACAGGGGACACACGGGTGACAGCAGGGATCGAGACGAAGTGGCGACAAAATACGAACGCGTTTCAATCGGAAAGAGCGCTCAACGCCTCATCCCGAATCCCCCCCCCCCCCACCAAAAAAACATACTCCAGTAAGACGAAAACCGCAAACTATTAAACTCAACCAACAAACTCGTTTTGCCGCCTTCCTGGACAAAATCTGCAGTGAGGAGCCTTCGTCTGCGTGCCCGGCCCCGCCCGCGGCATCACTCACATGTCCGCCGGCTTCCAGCGCACGAGCAGCTCGGGCTTGTTGTCTGCGCACGTTCTGCGAGCGATCACCTGGGAGGGAGGCGCCGCGTCACACAACGCCACCTGAACCACAGATCTGACCACAGATCGGCAGTCCGGTCTCCGGCTCCGACCACCGGCCCGGCGGCCCCGAACCGCCGGCCTCCAGTGTCGGGCGCCACGGCTGTCGCGGGCGCCAGGACCGGCGTGGTAGGGGCGCGCCAAAACCGAGGATGTGCGTGACCAGCATGACGCGGCATCCGCCAGCGGGGCGTGCTATGAAAAGCTGATGTGGCAAAAGTGCCAAGGCGGACGTCCTTAAATCAGGGAATATCAGAATTGAGGCCATTTCACGGAACATTAGAATCGAGGCAAGTTCAACGCAAACTGATGAAATCCCTGTCACGCCTATCGTGCCACATGTTCCGCCCATGCCAGCCAACGTGCAACTTAAAAAGGTCAGGGAATTCCTTCAGCGCGAAATACTGACGTCACGCAGGTATGCAGATAAAAGTGGACTAATGCACCAGAGACGTCACGAATTTAGCCACAGGGACTATTACAAAAGAATGCCGACATGTCAGGTGCTAAGCATGCTCCCGAACTTTCCGCCGCCGTAACAAACACCCCAGACTCGCTTATCATTCGCGCGCCAGGCTTCCCTGACCTCAGTATGACCGACTAGCCATCATCACAGCGGATTCCAGTGATTGCCGCTCGATAGCCTCAGCTAATCAGGCGGCCAATATGAGCTGCGCCTGAGCCACAGGACCGCTTATCGCTGTCCAATACGGTCGGCGGAGCGGGCTTATCGCCGGGCGGCGCTCACCTGAGCTGAGAGCTGGAGGCCGCGGCCCGAGACGGGCGCCAGCCGCTCCAGCGCTCCGTCCACGCGCACCAGCTGGTACCGCAGCCGCTCCATCACGGTCGCGTCGCAGAAGTCGAAGATGCGCGCTGCGGGCACAGGGGCGACGTCAGACGAGCGGCGGGGGCGGCTGGCGGACGAGGAGCCATCGTATCGTCCACCTCCGAGGAAGCGCGCCAATGGGGCCCGATCATACGCTGCCCTCTCGCCACCTCGAACACAGCTGCTGCGTGACCCGATACGACGCAAGGCGAGAGCGGGCTCGACACGAACCGCTCCCCCCGTTGGGCTTCACCCTGGCGCTGCTGGCCGCTCCGGGCCCAGGCCGACTAGTGCCACCCGGCAGGGGTCACACCGGCCGGGGCTCAGAGCCTCAGAGTCCCCCCCCCCACCCCCACCCCGACCACAACAGACGGGCCGCCCGATAAAGCCCCCCGCCAACACCTCAGCGTCAGACACTGTGCACGGGGCACCAGGCGTCGAGCCGATCCAGCAGGGTACTGAGGCAAGCCACGGCGGCCGGCGCTCTGCGCGGGCACAGCCCGTCTTGCGTCCGCCCCAAACCCGGCGGACACGCGCCGGCCGCCGGTCCTGACGGCGTCACTGCGGGTCACCGCCGGCCTCTCACTTACCCGAGTAGGGGTGCTCCTCCTGGATAGCGCGCCGGCTGCTGCGCCGTGACAACTTGGTCGACGCGTCGGGCCGCTTCACCGGCGGCGTCGGGTTGAAGTGGCCGTTGACGTGCCGCTCCAACACCGACTGCGGGCCGAGGAGGCGTCATCAGCAGGACGGCGGCGGCAGCGGCGGCGGCCGAGCCGCGGCGCCGGACGCCGCCCGGAGCGGACTGACGCGGGCTCGCGGCCACATCATCTTTATAGTGGACCACGCACCGTTCGTGCCCGGCTCTCCTTCTACGGTCAGGCGCGAGCCGGCGCCGCACGATGCGTCAGGGAACCGGTGACGGGGCGCTGAGCTCACCGGTGACGCCGGCGCCGGCCGCCTGAGTCAGGCGCGCGCCGCCGCGGGCGTCACCGCCACCCGCAGGCCCTGCGAGCGAGGCTCCTTGCGGCCCGCTTAATCACGGGTCAGCGGGTGCTCCGGCGGAAGACGACACTGACGTCACCGCAGACGCTAGTCCGAGGCGGCTCCGGTCTCCGTGACGGCGGCGGCGCGCGCCGCGACGGCGTCACGTCCGCTCCCGGCGGCCGCGATGCTGCACCGTCTGCCGCCGAGCGCGACCTCACACTGCGGCGCGCCGGCCGGCGGCGGCGGCCGTGCATTGCCCCGGCGCGGCCGGCCGCCGGGGCCGTCTGGCGGCCGCCCAGACGCCGTGACGTCACGCCGCCGCCGGCCCGTTGCCAGCCGGAGCTCTGCACGCCGAGTGTGTGAGTGCAGGCCCGGGCGCGGCGGCGCACAGCGGTGCGGCGCCCGCCGCCGCCGGCGCGAACTGCCGCACGAGGCCCGCCGCGGCGCCGCGCGCGCGCGTCGGCGCCGACGGCTCGGCTCGGCTCCCGTGACGCGCGCTCGTAAGCGGATTCGTTCGTGAGGTCGCCGCCGACTCAAAATAGCGACATTCCTTGCGGCTGACCTTTGCATTTTGTTTCGCGTGAAGGCGGCGACGACCGGCCCGGTGTGTGTATGTGGGCGACCGACGGACGTCTCCAGGGGGAGGGGGGGGGGGGGGAGGAGGCGGCTCGACGAGCCCCCGGCGCCGCATACGTGCTGCGCCGCCGCGACTCGTCTCCGCGCGGGACGCGGCGCGTGCGTCGAACGCGGTGGCTCTCGGGCAACAAAGCCGTCCGAGCGGCGAGGAGGGGCCGCTCGACATGTGTAATGTGTCGGGCGATGACCGCGCCGTCCATTTAATTGCGTCTGGGTTCCAGGTGCCCGGCCGGAGCAATAGAGAAGGGTCCCAGCAGAGCCGACATAATCTGCGAAATCATGTGATATCGCGCGCACCTGGCAACGCGAGTCATGACCGTGCGATAACTGCATGCTGGGAACCCAGCTGTCGTGAACGGAAAGGGCTTTGCAATCGAACGACTACGTAGAACGAGCAGGTTTGACTTATGTAACACTTCGCTTAGACGAGCAACCTCCATATTAAAATGTCGGGAGCAAGTTCTTGGCCGTTGGGTTTCCTACTGGCATGAATCCAGCACGAAAGGCTACAATTAGACATTAGCATTCAATTCCACACGTCGACAACAATCTTCCAACAATAGCCGTGCGCGCAAGAGCGATACAAGCTCCTCCTGCAAGCATCCATCACTTCAGCGCCGCACGTGGTCTCACCTGCGAGGAGAACCGCTGCGAGCAGCCGTCGACTATACAGCGGAACGGCTTGCTGCCGCCGTGCGTGAGCACGTGCCGCTCCAGCCAGGCGGCCGAGCCGGGCCGGTCGAACACCTTGCAGC